GGTCGCCCGAGCGCCCATACTTATCATAACACTAAGTCATACATCAGTTGCAATCCCACTAAGATTCTAACAAAGATGGAATATATGGCTCATCCTATGAAGCTGTAAAACAGTGCCCAACGCCAGATCACTTAGTTTTAATGTGAAAAATTGCAGCACAATTCGGCAATATGGGGGCATCCTGCTGGTTATCATGATTCACTGCAAAATGTCCCTCCCAAACCGCACGGCGCCGAAATTACTCATTCCTAAGGCTAGAAACCTTTGCAAGCCAACAGAGTCCCAAACTCTCCCTGAATAGAATACAAGCATTTTCAGTTGACCACAGCCCTCCAGAAATCTCGGTGAAAGCTTGGCAGGACACTACCCCTGTTTTGGTGGATATTTTCCTTTTTTTTCAAAGTCGCAATCTAGGGCACTAAAGTCTAGCCTCCTACCTGATGCAGTTTATAGTAGAGTCCGCAGGCGTTACAAACCGGTTCACCGCCACCGTTTCGCCTCCACAGGGTCGTTGTGTTCGTGTTACAGTTCACGCATACGACACCGGTTCGTTTTTGGGCACTCTGGAAACGGTACATTAGTTACGGTATACGGTAATAGTTGATTTAGTGGATCACTAAGCAGCTGTGCAGTTCAGGGAGCTTCATGTGAAGGGATTTTGAGCGCGGTGTGGCGGCGGGGAAGGGGAGGGGGGAAGGAGCGTTTTGCGTTTTCGCTGCTTCACTGGTTCCGCTCTCACTGTGGTGAAACCTGTGATTCATGTGAAGCTGGAGCTTTGAGCCACAATGGTAAGACCTGCCGGCACTTGTAAGCTCATGAAACAGCTTTGTAGATGGCCCGACACGTTGATGGGAAGTAGCAGAAGTGCAAAATGCTCCCCTCCCCCGTCGCTGAACTGTCCAAAATTTTGTATTATGGCGGTGAAAAACCGGTGAACGATCCTAATGTTTGAGAGTTTCGGTGTGGGATGGAACTAGCCCAGTAGAAATTTGCCAGTTGAAGGTGGAGAACTGGAGGCGCGTTCGGTCGCCAAGCTGGCCAAATGTACTCAGCGGTTACTCTGGGCTCTACGGCGGTTCTACCCAGGGTTACATGCGACATCTCCTTTTCCTGCACGTTTCACAACCCGGCTAGATCTCATCGTAATTGAATTAAGGCGGAACACAGATCTGTTCGTTATCTCACCCTTACGGCTGGTATAATGGGATTCTTAGCACATTTCCTTTAAACTGAAGGTTTAGATGGCCAGCTTGGGCGATGACATTTACTATCGAATTGTGGCATATTTTCTCTGTGGAACCTCGAAATCGTTCTCTTAAGGGATCCGCTGAGGTAGAATATTCAGAGTTTGGGGTTGAAGAAACGAATGTATGTCTGGGAGATTGACCAAGCCTGTGAGTAAGAGTTTTGGAATGGTGGACCCATTTTTTTGTGCAAAAATTCGTATTTTCAAATGTCTCCGCTGCTTTGCACCCTAATGCCCCACCTCATTCGGAAAACGTCTTTTCAAACTCTGCGTACACGAAGCGTTCAAGGTTATGCAGAAGGGCGTTAAGCATGTGATCGGGAGAGGTTACGGTAGCCGTGAGTTGGTTGGTTTGGATTTACGCGATTCTGCACTGACGAGAAGGCTTTTTCATGGCAGAGCGGAGTGCTACACGCTTTCAACAGTTTTATGGTAACTGAGACTACATGTGACCTCCAGGTGGGGCCTAATCTTGACACAGTGACTGACTTGGACCCTTCCTTCTGCTTTTTTTTCTTGCCCGCCCAAAAGTAGTCTTGAAGTAGAAGGTTTTGCCTGGTGATCAGTTTGAAACCCTCAGCCTCCCAGGAGTCATCGCTCAAGGTTGCGTAGGCTAGGTCGGCACCAGCACAACTACTGTAGGGTGTTGATTTACGGGGAAATTTCCCCATCTTAAAGGTCGCCACCGGTCGTCTCATGTGTGATCGCTATCTAACACGACAGCGACAACGACGCTACATGGGACAAGTGGAGTCGACATGGTCATCGACAGCACGTCGGCTCGGCTCATACGCCAGGGTGACGTCTATCGCGGGACAAATTCCCGTGCGCGCGACGAAATCATCGTGTCACTTCCCATTTGTAGCTGGCCAGCATGGCCTTTAAGCTCTGGCCATCGATGATGGTTTTCAAATCGGCTACAGTAATCCTCAGTAACTTGAGGCTGACTGACATATAAGGTCGTGACCTGTTACACAGCCCGCGCCGAGAGTGAGGAATGGGTGGAGGTTCGGGAATTGCGTCACCAGCCGTCCATACGGATGACTGAAGTGGATAGCATTTCTTAATTGACGACTGATACTATCAGACGAACTATTTAGAGGTCAACTAGTTGACATGTAAACAATCCCTGCAACCTTATACCCCCGGATAATCCCCAGGACACAACTCCCCCTCCCTCTAACTCCTTATGAGGGCCCAGACGGGCTATGCTCCCGTTTCTCATTGTTTGTCAGCGACTAGAAACTACCCCCGCTCAAAACAGTGTCCCGTGCCCGTGGCCAAATACGGTGTTCAAAACCTGTTCCTCCCGTTGGTGAGGGAATGTGCGCAAAGTGGAGAGCGCAGCCTTCAACGCGCTACCGTATCCCTCCCATTGACGAGGTGTAAACTAACAAGCGCGACGGGTGTCATAATCTGCGCCATGAACATGTATCTGATAGGCGGGGCTGGTAGTGAGAGTGATGAGCGACGGACGACTCGGGGTGATAAGATAACGACCGACAAATGATAACACGCGTTGATTGATAATGATATGGAACACGCGACTAGGATAGCCCTGTGTGGCCGTCTGAAGGCTATTTCTGGCCCGAAAAACGCGCTTACCTGTCTCTTTTTAGGCTTCACCAACGGCCTATTCTGCCCGTTCATCTTGTGATAGAGTCCGCAGGCATTGCAGAGGTAATGACCGGTACCGTCTCGTCGCCAAAGTGGAGTGGCCTGGACGCCGCAGTTCACGCATTCTCGTCCTTCAGCTGAAACTAAAGCACCGTTTAACAGTGGGTACTGCACGTACTGCACACGTACATCACTTTCACGTTCACAAATTGTGCTCGTGCCGGCGCCGTGCCACTTCCAAATTCACACACCCACAGGCATTCAGTACAGGGCACATCATTGGTTGGGGATTTTAGTGAAGTCCGTACGACCCCCCCCTTTTTTTTAGGATGTTGGTGCGACCCCCTCCCCTCCACTCCCTCCTCATCGAGCTGTCGAGCAGGATCTCTTTTTGGACTTACTACGACCCTCCTCCCCTCCCTCCCCCAGCGACCGCATACGACCCCGAATCCCCAACGATGACGTGCCCTGGTCCAAGAACTTATCAATCAGGATTCTGCAATTGCACAAGTGCAGACTTACAGTACACCAATAGGTGGAAAGAATGGCAGTTACTTAATCGAATATTTGACCCTAACTAATCGAATGAGCGTTTCTACCGTACCAAAGGTTCACACAAACAAACACACGACACATTGCACCACAGCGCACCAAACGTGCAGCGCATTACGCACATGCTGAGGTTCGAGCCTTACTCCGTGAGGCGAGCGTCGAATGAGCCGATCCGTTTGAACTGGACGATCCAGAAGTGCTGGTGGAGCAGGCGACACCGGCACCAGAACCAGTGCCCGTTGGCGCAGTTGAGCCCGGAACTCGTGGTATCAACGGTGACGAGTAGTCGTATGTGGGATAGTTGAATGTGGAGCCATAGAACGAAGCATTCGCGGTGTTATGGCCTGAAATGGGTGGAGTCACGACGACGGAATGAACAGTTGACAAGGTGAGTTTTACAGCTCTTTCAGCGAGGAAGAGCGCATTCATATAGACACACACACGCACAGCTACACCAATACACATAGATCTGAGGCGAAGATAACGCCGTCCGATCGATCGAGCACGTTCAGGGCAAAACTGAGCTGCACAATTTAAACTTCTGGTCGAGATTGTAGAAAGGTCAACTGTCAAAGATCGTTTTCAAACTGACCAAGCATCGATGGATCCATCATTTGGTTGAAGCTGGCATCATTACCCGAACAGGCGGCTGTTGTAGCTGCTGGTAGCGTATATGGTTGATACATAGACGGATTGATGATATACCCGGCTGAAAAACGACCGTAGTATTCCTTGGTAAGAGCGAGAAAAAAGTCAGTTTAGAGGCTGATTCATGATGTATGACAGCAGCAGCAGCAGCAGCAGTGTGCTTGCCCCCTTCATTCATTTCCCCTCAGGGTAATCAATGCGCATGATGCGAAATACCCCTGGGCTCTTCCACACACACACCCACCCGCTCGCTGCCTAGCCATCACCAGCGGGGGGCCGCTGAAGTCAATGAACCGCAACGAA